GGAAGTTCAGGTCCCCCATGATTACCACATCCTTAGCCTTCACTACCTCTGTGAGCTGACCCAAGAAATCCTGGTCAAGCCCCTCACCCTGGTTGGGAGGTCTGTAGTAGACTCCCACTGTTAAGTCTCTTTTGCCTCGACAGCCTTTCACTCTAACCCAAAGCACTTCAGAGTGCCCCTCCCCTGACTCCTTGCCAATGGACGAGGATGTGTATTCCTCCTTAATATAGAGTGCCACACCCCCACCTCTCTTTCCTATCCTGTCCCTTCTGTACAGCCTCTAGCCCGTGACATTCACCGCCCAATCATGTGATGAGTCCCACCACGTTTCCGTAATCCCCACTGTGTCCAGGCTAGTGTCAGCCAGCAGGAGGGTATTTTAGACAAGGGTGAAGGAAGGATCTTGGAGGATCACAGCACATTAGGAGATCATAAAACTTATCTGTGGTGACTTGCAGATGTTAAAGAAAACAACAAAAAAACACCCTTTACATGAAGAAGCAGTACGCTATTTCGACCTGGCTCTGCAGTGTCTGTATAGATTGGGCACTTTAGTGCAGCTTTTTGGCCGCCTGATCTATATAGACATTGGGTGAGCTGGGTCCAACTAATGTTATGCCCCTTCTGAGCAAGTGCAGGGCTCGGCACAGGAGTGCACCACGTTTAAAGTAAAGCACCAGTTTTTGGTTTATTTTTAATGTCTGCAATCAGTCTGTGTGTCTATACCATTTCTACAAGGCAGCATATAGGGTATGATATACCCTCTCAGATGCTGAAACTACTTTTCCTCAGAAGGGGAATTCACCGAGATACAGAAGACTGCTCAGATGCTCCAAGTAACTGTTGTCTTATCTACGAAAAGGTAAACTATTAATTCTGGTATCTGTATTAACTCTATAATTAGCTATACATTCCTCTGGTTTCTCTAAGCCTAGTGATACACACAGAGCAAACTTTTCTAGAGCTTTATTATCATTTTGGAGATAATATTGTTTTATGTGGCAAAAATACTGGTTTTGTTAGTTAGGCTCCAAAAAAAAAAAAAATACTGTCATGATACAGCCTCCCCAAGGAAGGCCATGATGTCCCTAAGTCACCATGACTGTGCTGGCTCTGCCCTATGGGTGCCTACCAGGCACAGCTGGTGAACTCGGATTGGTGGGGTGGTGAAGTGTCCCGTGCAGGGGGGAGGTTTACAGCCAGTTGGGAGTGTGTGGGCGGGGAGTGGTGGGGGGCCATGAGGAGGCTGCAAATGCCCCTGCTCCCATGGGATGCTCCACCGCCCCGCCAGTCTGAGTTCACCAGCTGTGCCTGGTGCCTACTAATCTCACTGGCCACATCTTGCTAGTATAAATGATGAATCGGGAGGCTGCCCTCGAGTTGCTGCTTGGTCACAGTCCTGATAGACTCCTCTCAGCCATTTGGGTTGTTGGACCCCTTACTGAGTCCCACACTCAGGAGGTGACTTACAGTACCCCCAAGCCTTATAGGCTAGATGTGTGGATCCAACACTTCCCCTTTACTATCCCCCCATGCCTCAAAGGTGGTATTTAAATGTTTTCCCTTTTTTGATGGGGCCTTCGTCTAACTCAGCCTCCTGTCATCATTGGGCCCTTGGCCCCTGTCTCTGTACCCTCTCCAGCGCTGGGTCTCTACACTGTAGCATGCCCCCTATGAGGCCTCCTCCTCCCCAATAGCCTCAGCCCAGTCCACTGGTGTAAAAATAACATAAATAGGAGCCCCTGGGCTATAACATAATATGAGTAATGCAAGCTACACACTGCCTCTTTAAAACCCCAAACTGTTCTTTGAGTATTGAGTACCCACCAGCCCTGGGTACTTTGTAGACTCCTGGAGCCTCATTAGCTATGTAAACTGTCTATCCAGCAGCCACAGTGTTCCTGGGTAGTTCTTCCCTGCAGGAGCTCCTTCCCCTGGCAGCTTGCCAGAAAACTAACCCCTGCTAGCCTCAGCCCTGAGGCTTGTATGTGCCAGGGCCCTGACTCCTTCCATCATCTGACCAGGTGCAGGTACAGGCTAATTCCCCCATTAGCCTGCTACCCAGGCAACCTGCAGCTGTGGAGCTACGTCTAGCTCCTCAGGCTCTCTAGCCAGGCAGTTCCTGCCCTTAAAGGAGCAGGCACACCTTAGTGCCCTGCAACAAATACCATTAGCACCACTAGGCAGCTCTGCAGGAAGCACTCCTCCCTACCGTGTCATGTTCTGTCCTTCTCCTATACCCACCCATTCCTCCCCTGCCCAACTTTTTTCTGTATTTCACTTTTTCAGTTCTTTGACTAAGATCTAACGTAGCAGTGTTCAACTCATCTAGCCTACAAATGAATGGTACAGGGTCAGTCCACAGGTCCGGTCTGAACCCATAGCATAGAGCTCTGTATGGGTCCAGAAATTTGGTAGGAGGATGAGTGACAACATTAATTGCCACAGCAGAAAATGCTGCCACTGCTTCCTTGCCTCCAAATTTCTGGACCCACAGGGAGCCCTGTGGGCTGGATTTGTGAGCCATGTCTTGGTCACCCCGATCTAACATTAACATAAGATATCTTCTTTCTTGGGTGAACTTCAGCTTGGTGGAGGATACTGTCTATCTTATCTTGACAATGGACTGATAATCTAATGGCTCTTTTCCAGCTGACAGTTGGGACTCTTGTTCCCCTTGCCTTCCTTATTAATTAATTGCATGTAAATCACAAGAGGTCTATTTTGGATTTTACTCCCAAGTGTTCAGATATTCAAGTCAAAGTGAACTCGGATGTCTATTAAAATATAAGCTGGAAACCTCAGAAGGATAGGATTTCTTGCAACATTTCTGATAATTTCTGCCATAGGTGGAGGGAGCGAAAATTATTTGGAGGGGCTGAACCCCCCCCATCAGATAAGCCTGTGGGGGAAGGGGCAGGGGAAGGGAGTGGGGCTGGGGTTAGGACAGGGGCAGGAGCAGGCCCTGCACAGTCAGGGTGCGGTGTGGGACGGAGCCGTGAGCAGCTTCCTGGGGGCACGGGGAGGGGAGGACAGCTCCTGCCGCTGCACACACCCCAGGGGGCCACATGGGGTGCATGTCTGGGGATCTGTGTACAAGGTGGGGTGGGCTGGGGCTGCGCCAAGCTGTTTCCAGTGGGGGGTGGGCTGCATTGTGCTCAGAGCAAGTGGTGGCAGCGCTGGAAGGGGGGGATACAGTGAATCTTGGGGTGGCTGCAGCCTCCCCCATAGCCCCCTACCAGTGCCGTTGCTGCCTGCCCCCAGCACAGCCCAGCCCTGCCCTATCCCATGTACAGATCCAGGGGCACACACACCCCATGCCTCCCGGAGTGTATGTAGCAGCAGGAGCCACATCCCCCCAGACCAGCTGCTTGCGGCTTAGTCCCATGCCCCACCCTGGCTGTGCAAGGCCTGCCCCTGCCCCAGTCCTACTTCCTTCTTCCCCTCTGCATGCACATCCTTCCCCACCCCTGCTGCAGTGCCAGAAACCCAAGGCCAGGCTGCCTTTCAGCCCTACCTCTGCCCCATATTTTGGGGGGGGGCTAAGCCCCATTAGCACTCCCTTCCACTGCCTGTGGTTTCATTTGGGCTGAAAACACTATGAGTTTCATGGTAACATGCCTTCTTTCCTGCCCCAACCGCTAAAAACACAGTCGTGTGCAAAAAAGAGGGAGAGGGTATTAGGAGTTGAAATCCAGAAGGTTCAGCCTCAGTTGCTTGGGGGATGTCTGCAATTTATCTGAATCAGCTTGAATCAGCTTGCTCATGCTTAATAGACATTACAGGACTGTTACTTAGATCTTCCCTGCTTCAGAAACTTTGTGTGGCATTTCTCTTCCCAACATTTCCTCGTACAGGCTTTTCTCTAGTTTGGATGGACATACTAACATTCACACTCAAGCACCTTGTAGGCTGTCTCTATGTCAGCACTTTTCCAAAAATATCCTACTGTTCCACTGCCGTAAGTGACAGCAACAATAAAGTTGTAACTGTAGATCAGATGTCACTAATCTAACAAATGTGTCATGCTAAGAACTGTTCTAGATGACTCTCATCAGTAGTCTGCCTGTACTAGCACAGACCCTTTACACATATACATCTGTGATGCACTAGCGATTGGGCAGTGGTAGGAAGTACTTAGGAAAATAATAGTTTAGATAAGGGCATAAATCGAGCCTACCATAGGCAAAGATAACCTCTCCAGTTGCTTAAAGGGGTGGGGGTGTTAAAAAAGCTGTGTTGGCATAATTCTGCCCCCATTCAAATCAGTAAGAGTTTGCCTCTGACTTCATGGAAGCAGAGGTAAACCAATCTGGGTGTATTAACTACCATATCTAATACCTAGATCTTTACTTCTCCGGTATTTGTTTTAGGTATACACAGGTTTCCTTGAGTGAAAATACAACTGTAATCTGATTAGCTACTATTTTCTGCCATTGTTCAGTTCAGCTCCATAAGGCTTTTATTGGCAGGACAAGCTAAGCAAGCATATAAAAAGAGAGACACTGTTCTGATATGTCTGAGAGTTAGCTAAGATTTACTATACAAAGAGTTCCTCACTGTATTGAGGGAGGTGGGGGAATTATCCCACGTCCTTTTGTCATCAGTGTGCAATTGTTATTTTTTGGTTTCTGTTTCCAAGCCATCAGCAGGAGCACTAAATAGACAATGATCACACCACATAAGACATAAAGGTTAATCACTGTTGGGGCTTAGGGGCATTTGTGCTTGTAGCTACTATCCTGTGATTCTGATCCAGTTGTGGCTCTGGGATACTACTGCAGTTTGAATAAAAGAAGAGTAAGAGATGGTTCCCAATGACTGCTTCATAGCATGTATTGTAAATGGTTGATTTTATTTTCACTCCCATTCCTGCTTCACTCTCTGATTTGGGAGTCTTCTGTACAACGACAGACAGTCTTTCAGAGCTTGTGTTAACTTAACCTCCAGGCCACATGCTCAGATTGCTTGAGAAAAACTGAACTTTCAGCTGCTGTTCTCTGCTTGGTACTTCTGGAGCACCCCTGGAGCTATGAACTAAATGAAGGGAAAGTAAGTTGCTAAGAGACTTACTGGTCTTTTTCTTCTTTTTTACACTTTTGCGCATAGTTTCAGAAAGTAAACTGAGCAGCCTTCCAAAAAAGACCACTGCAGATTGTACCTTGTCAAGGAGGATGGGCACTTTTACATGCCCAAAGTAACAGTGGATACTTTTACATGTGCTCTGGGGGACAGGGAGGGGGGTGGCGCTTTAATTAGAGCAGCTGTGAGATCCACTCTAATTAAAGAACCATTGTGTCTTGTGTATCAGCATCACCATGCTTAAAATTGTCGATCAAGTGCCCCCTCCGCCATTTTAAAGCCTGGGGACACTGATACATGAGATGTAGGAGGCTGCTGGAGCCTGACATATTGCCATGCTAGCAGACTCAATTAATCGAGTCTGCTCCAACGTGCTGGAATTCCAGCACGTCAGAGCAGCCTCCGCACTCATGTGTGGATGCCTAGAATTTCTTTAAAATGATTCTGCAGCTTGGTGGATGATGAGCTGAACAGTGTGACATGTAGGATGGGCCTTACCAGAAAGAACTTGCACCTCAGTCACTTAATGAACGTGTCATAAACAGAATCTCTTCGATGCTGAAACTATGGTCTGTGTTACTTTTAAAGAGGTGAAGAAAGAAATCAAAATTCTCAGAATGACACGGAGGTCATGGCTTTAAAATGTGAAATACCTGAATTTGAAATCTTTCGGTAAACAGTAGCCCATGCGGTAATCACTCCTGGTCTTAGCTATTTGTTTTTGAAGGTCTTTCACGGACTTGCTGTATCCATTGAAAATATAGTTGGCAAAAAGAAGCTTTCCTTGAATGTACATCTGCCAAAGAAAATGGAAAAGGATCCAATTTTTAATAAGATGTGAAGAGCCACCTGTTATTTAAAATAAGGACATTAGGTTGACACCATAAAAGAATGATGCCAAAGCAGGCTCTATAGTTAAATAAGATGCTGCTTTTAGCTCTTACCAGAGGCAGATTAAGATTTATAAAAGTAAAATTAACATTACTGGCTTTTTTGGGCAATGTAGCTGATTAATGTTACCAATAAATGCCTGGTACATGTGGCCAAGAATGCCTAGGCAGGAAGGGGCATGGGGTATAGGCAGATTAATGCATGGGCCAACAAGGCCTAGGGCTAAGAGCCCCCAGATCCTTGGGCTTGGTATTGCTGAGTATATACCAATTATTCTTCAATTTTGACCCCATTCTCTTTCATTCACTGTTCAGGCATAGTGAGCAATATAAAACAAATAAGAAGGTGGGTTATTTGCATACTTATTTACATACCAGGCACCAGAAAATATACAAATAAATCCTTTTCTTATTTACTTAATATTGCTTACTGTAACTCTTCAGTGAGTGAGTGAGAACTGGGTCATACACCTTTACAGCACCAGCACTAGAAGGGAGGAAGGGGCTTCTTCCCCTGCTGGAACCCAACTTTCATGGAAGAGGCCTCCAATCTTTTTCTTGTCCAGGGCACCAGCAAATCTTAATTGGCTGTGGGGGGGCAGGGAGAGTATGGCAGAGGTAGGCACTGGCCAGTCAGGGTGGTGAATGTGACCCTGGGGCCAGGAACAGGATGGAGCCACGGGGCTTGTCTGGAGCAGGTTGGGGGCAGGGAGAGGGTACTGGGGGGGTGGGAAGCTCCCTACCTCTGCACACACCCCTGGGAGAGGCGTAGGGAGCCTGTGCCCCCCTGGATTTGTGTGTGGGGCAAGGGTGGGCTGCCTGCTGTGGGCTTGGAGCCAGGGGCTGCACTGGCCTCTTCTTGGAGGGGTGGGGCTGGGCTGGGGCTGTGCTCAAGGTGGGCGGGGACAGTGCTGGGAGGGGGAGCTATAAGTGGGCACCAGCCACTCCAAAAGTTGCCATCACCCCCTCTCCCAGTGCTGCTGCCACTTGCACCACCCCCACCCACCCTAAGCGCAGCCCTGGCCCAGATTCTGACCCCAAGCCTGGGGCATA